TTACCTCAGCCCACCTTCATACGAATGCTAATCGGTCTAGACAATGGGATGGTCAAGTTCCGCCCCCCCCCCTCCAGCAGGGAACAGAGACTTGGAGAAATTAAGACTAGAAAAGACTTCAGGAAGAAATTTCTGGAGATGTCAGGAAAAGCTTCCTTAACCTGGCCTGACTGGGTCAGTGGGAGGGAAAAGGGAGAAGATAAAACTCCTGAAAGCAAGGAGGAAGGTCTCTTTAAGTGTCACCAGAGCAGACAGAACTCTTAACTGAGGTCTGGAGGAGGTGGCCATTACTGTGTGCTGGCCTAGACAGCTGGAGGAAGCTGCAAGGTAATGGTAACTCTGTAGAGATCTGTAACTTTCTGAGCTAAGGAGCCTGCCCTATATTTTAACATCTGATAGGCAATATTCCCTCTAAGCTGTGGAGTCTTGTGAGCAAAAACTCTACTTTGTGAGCTACTGGCATTAAAGTTGTGAGCAAGTGATTTGCTACTGCATAAATTAGTTTGCTCTGGAGCCATCCTTCCTGAGCAAAGACAAAAATGTGTGAGCCTGAGGCTTAAAAAACTGTGAGCTAGCTCACAGTAACTCAAGCTTAGAGGGAACCATGCTGATAGGTCATGTACAGAGAGAGGGACAGAGGATTTGCATTTTACCCATTTCTTTTTGAATCCCTTGCTCAGTTTAGTGCTGTTCTAAAAGTATGCTTGTGAACATTTTGTTTTTAATAAATACTTAATAACTGGTAGTGTTCTCTGTACCACACAGACCTCCACCGTTCGGGACACACTATTTTAAAAGGAGTGCCGGGGGAAGGCAGTCAGTTGGCAAGTGGCTATTTCTCCAGGGGTGCACAAGGCAGTAAGTGGTCCCCATGGTGACCAGGCACTGGGCAGTGGGAGACACAGAGGCAAAGTCTCAGAACTTGAAAGGGAAGCTGGGAGTCCTGACCCTCTCAGCGGGCAATTCCTTACAAAGGTCAGGTGGTGGCAGTGGCTACCTGAGAGAGAGAGAAAAGCTTCTCCAGGTGTTGGGAAAACCTTGGAGGGCAGGGTGGACCGGGGCCTGCAGTCCTGAGTAGGCCTGTTCTGCTACAGGGGGTAAAGACAGAGCTGCTAAAATAATACGTTCTTTAAAAGAACGTATTTTGTAAGAGGTGTCCTCTGGTTTTACCTCTCTCCAAATTTTTCTGTTGTTTCTTTGGAAAAATTCAGGGGTGGTGGGAAACCCCCCCCCATTTTACTGGGCCTACACTTCTCTGACCCTGACTCGGATAACCCAGGCTAGCCCAATCTCGTCACATCTTGGAAGCTAAGCAGGGTCGGCCCTGGTTAGCACTTCGACGGGAGGAAACCCCCCCCCCCAAGGAAAATCGGGGTTGCTACACAGAGGGCAGGCAATGGCCAACCACCTCTGCTCACCATGCACCGTGAAAACACTACAGAGTTGCCATAAATCAGCTGTGACTTGTTGGCACTTTTGTCTGCTCATGTCAATAGCGCAGGCTATGCCAACCCCCCTCCCACTTCTTGGGCTCATTCAGGCATACAGTGATATGTATGCCTGTGTAAAACTGTAAGGTGTGAATGCAGCAGGCCCATATATTAATAAACCATAGTATTCACAGTGTTCAGAATGCTCCATGTACATCCTTACACAGATTCTGTAAAGTAGGCCAGTGTTATTACACCCATATTGCCGAGGGGGTGGCTGCTGTGAATAGCTTGCAAACGAATCTGTCCGAGGAGGCAAACCTTGAATCGCAGCTCCCTTTCCCCTACACTATAACATGTGAAGCGTTGATCTTAGCTCCTGCCACGCTTGGCTCCCCTCAGTTAAAACCTCTATCAACAGATTGTGGGTGGGCAGGCCCACCAGTCTTTCGCCCTATGGAAAAAGACAGATATTAGCAGAATTATTGATTGTGTTCGTAAAAGTAAAGTCATGACCAAACAAGATCTCGAAAGAAAATATAAAATAAATATTTATTGGTTCGGATATTTTCAGTTTAGACGCTTTATGGAAAATTCCGCATTTCAGTCTTCGATACAAAAACCTCTCAAGGACTTTGAACAGCTATTATTTAAACCTTATCAAAAACGCGGGCTAATACCCAAAATTTATAAAATTCTATTGATAGGTCGAAAATTAGAGGTGTTAACTTATCAAAAAGCTTGGGCAACGGATTTAAACTGTGTGATGACAGAAGATCAGTGGGAGGACCTATGGCAGGCCCATAATTCGATGTCCAAGTCATTATATGCTCTAGAGGCTAACTTAAAAGTTACATTGAGATGGTATATGACTCCCGTCAAACTAGCGCATAGAATCCCAGGTTTAACCCCTTTTTGTTGGAAAAAATGCGGGGAATGTGCTACATATATACATAATTGGTGGTCTTGTAAACTAATTCAAGGATTTTGGACTCAGATAGTACAATGTATATGCAAAGTAACCAACTACAACTTACCTTTAGATCCTATGATTGTTCTCTTAGGTCTTTGGCCCGAAAATGGTCTGTCTATAAAAAGGAGAAAATTAATAGGAATGTTGCTTACTGCGGCAAAAATTCTTATAGCCAGATCTTGGAAAGAAAAAGCAATTCCTACGGTAGCACAATGGGTTCATAAAATCTGCGATTTGTTTATGTTAGATTTTTTTTCTGTTTATAAGGATTCTAACCACAATGAACAACTTTTTCGCAATCCATTAAGTATTTGGTTTCCTTTAGTAGAAAAGATAGATTTAGAATGTTTTTAATGGGAGGCTATTAAAGCTACTAAATATAAGCTCCTCCTATTTTGTTGAGGCTACAAAAGGATTTTGTTAATGGTTAATGGTTAATGGTTGTCAGTTTACCAAAATTGCTTATATATTTAAATAGTTTTGTAAATGATATGGTTGTTGCGCCCCTTTTTCTCCCATTGTCATATATATTATGTCATTGCTGCTGCTATTTTAAAGTGTAACATTATATAATTAAATAAAAATCTAAATAAAAAACAAACAGATTTTGGGTGAAACGACACAGTTGCTTACAGTGGTTTTTGCCAGGTCGTAGGCCTGGAAAGTGTGTTAGGCGGTACCATGCTGAAAAAAGATGTGTGTTTTGTCTCCAGGATGAAATCTGTGATACGCAGGGCTATTTTTGGGCAGGAACACACAGGAACGGAGTTCCGGCTGGCTCCCAAGTTGGCCACGCCCAGCAGGAACTCATTAGCACAATAGGCCACACCCAACAGCAGAAACTCATTAGGATTGGCTACATTAGGGGTGTGTGGCCTAACATGCAAAGGAGTTCCTGCTACAAAAAAAGGCCCTGGGTTTTGACAACAAACAAGGTAAACAGAATAACAAGCAAAAGGTGGGTGTGGCTGGATAACCACACTTCTGGTAAGATGTGGGTGCAGCCTAACATGCTAATGAGCCTAATGTGCTAATGAGCTGTGCTGTCAGGGGTGTGGCCCAATATGCTGGGTGAGTGGCTGTTCACAAGCCCTGGTGATAGGTGTTTCTCAGACGCAAGGCTTCGTATGATGAGCCTAATTGTACATGTGAATCGTTCCCAGGTTGTGAGGTGTCTGTACACGCTGGGTGGCGTTGTACAACCAAGAATCCCAAAGTCTTTTGCATGTGTTCCAGTAGACACATATACACAAATCACGTGAAAAAACAAACAAACGGATTTACAATAAACGGTTCCCACCACTTAGATTTCATATTTGTTAGCAAGTAGCCTTGGAGGCTGACCTGACCTGCATGGCTCAGGTTAGCCTGATCTCCTCAGACCTTGGAAGCTAAGCAGGGTCAGCCCTGGTTAGTAATTGGATGGGAGACCTCCAAGGAAGTCCAGGGTTGCTTAGTTGCTACACGGAGCCCAGCAGTGGCAAACCACTTCTCTTCACCTCTTGCCTTGAAAACTCTAGAGAGTCGCCATACTAGGAACATAAGATAAGCCAATGTTGGATCAGGCCAATGACTCATCCAGTCCAACACTCTGTCACACAGTGGCCAAAAATACCAGGTGCCATCAGGAGGTCCACCAGTGGGGCCAGGACACATCCCTCACAGGGCTTTGTGCTCTCATGACCAACATCTACTGGTAATCCCCAGCCCGAAGGATGTACCCCTGGCTTCAACCAGAGCCAGATCTTTCTCAGCTCTGGCGCCGGCCTGGTGGAACAACTCTCCTAGTGGAGATCCATGCCCTGCGTGATTGAATGCAGTTCTGCAGGGCCTGTGAAATGGAGATGTTCCGCCAAGCCTATGGTTGAGGCGGCAGCAACTTATCTATAATGGCCTCCCGTGCTCTGCCAGCTCTATTTCATCATGGCTGACTCTCTCACCCACCCCACCCATTTGCTCAGTACCGTTCCATCTACAGCTACCTGCAATCAGCATCTCTCAGCACTTTTATTCTGTAGCAGACGCCATCAGATGTTTTGGCAGTGTCTTAGAAATGATGGGTTTTGGTTAATTAGCACAATTTTATGGATTGTAAGGTTGTCTTATTAATCATGGTGTATGTTCTAATGTTCCCTCTAAGCTGTGGAGTCTTGTGAGCAAAAATTTGTCTTTGTGAGCTACTGGCATTAAAGTTGTGAGCGAGCGATTTGGCTGCTGCATAAATTAGTTTGCTGTGGAGCCCTCCTTCCTGAGCTAAGACAAAAATGTGTGAGCTGGAGGCTAAAAAACTGTGAGCTAGCTCACACTAACTCAGCTTAGAGGGAACACTGGTTGTAACCCACCCTGAGCCGGCTTGCGGGGGAGGGAGGGCTAAAAATGGAACAAATAAACAAACAAACAAGTCGACTGTGACTTGACAGCCCTTTCTACCACCAGGATTTGAGGCTGGAGGCAATAATCCCCACCTCTCCCCCTTGCTGGAGATAATGTGGGGAATGGGGGTGGAGGAAATGTATTACGTATGAGCTGCAATTGTACAGAAAGTTACTTCAAGGTCACCCCAATTTGCCTTTTATTGTTCTTCTTTTTTTTAACAGAGATTCTTTTGGACACGACGGGGGAGACGTCCGAGATTGGCTGGACTGCGCATCCTCCTGACGGGGTGGGTGTTCCCTGTCGGTCTACGCCGCTTGCGTGTCATGCGCTTCTGCAGAAAGCGAGGCTCTTGAGGGCTGAGAATGCGGAAGCTTTGCCGGTGGCAGGCAAACCAAAGCTGGCGGGATTTGCAAATCCCCCAGGGTCATATCTCGCTGCCCTGCCTTTATCTCTCCTTAGCAAATTAATTGCTTCCCGCCCTCGAAACCCCTAGAGGGAAACTTGATAAGATAAGCATTGATAAACAAGGGCTTGTATCCAGCAGAGGACTTCCACAATGGTGTGTGTGTGTGTGTGTGTGTGTGTGTGTGTGTGTGTGTGTGTGTTGCTGATTCCCCTTCCCTAGAGTTGCCAGCTCTGGATCAGGAAATTCATCGAGATTTGTGGGTGGAGCCTGGGTAGTCTGGGGTTTGGGGAGGGGAAAGACCTCAGCAGGGTACAATGTCGTAGAGTCCATGCTTCAAAGCAGCCACGCTCTCCAAAAGAACAGACCTGTATAGTCTGGAGGTCACTTGTAATCTTGTGAAATAATGTAGCCTTGGATAAATTAGATTGTTGGGTCCAGTACAAGCCCGGCATATAGTTGTTTATTTTTTATTTGTTTTATTTAAGTGGTGTTTTCCCCCCCTTCCACTGCATTTTACTGTATTCGTTCATTATAACTGTTCGGCACTCTTCAGGGAGAAAAAGTCAGCCAGTGTGTTGCAGTGGTTAGAGTGTTGGACTAGGATCTGGGAGACCCAGGTTCGAATCCCCACTCTGCTATGAAAATTCGCTGGGCCAGTCACCCACTCTCAGCCGTGAAAAATTCGCTGGGCCAGTCACCCACTCTCAGCCATGAAAATTCGCTGGGCCAGTCACCCACTCTCAGCCATGAAAATTCGCTGGGCCAGTCACCCACTCTCAGCCATGAAAA